TAATAATATAATAATAATAATATAATAATAATAATAATAACTAATAATAAAATAATAATAAATCGTTCTATAACACTGTATTAACATCACTGGTCATCTCTGATATACCAGATCATCATCCTCAACCTTAAAACTAATTTATTCTCAAGGTAAACCTCCCAAAGCCTTTTGTATCTATTTTTACAACTAACCTAGGTATTGCTATGGCAGAACCAACACTTGCAATCAGGGCTAACTATTAAACTGCTGTGCTCTTATAGAGTTTACTTAGACTCCAACATCTACTTCATAGCATAACCCCAGTACTTTAGTATACCTCTGCCTTTTCCCCTACCCTTTTACCAAACTCCCAATCCAGATAGCCTGTATAGGACTACGATCAGTCCATCGATATATCAGGTCAGCCCAATATCCTTTTCTTTCGGTTCGTTCCAGTGGCCTGGTTAGTGATACCTCCAAGACTCCCAGCTCAGAGGTTCTTGCCCATCTGGCTACTAGAACCGGGTACTAGACCTAGGTATCTGTTTTGCCAGGCTAGCCTTTACAGTAGGCCTGTCAAAGATCCAGCTACCTCTCTACTCGAGTCTTCCCAAATGAACTTCTTGTTACCTAATTTCAATGAATTTACATAATCACAAGGACTTATCTAGTGTTTGCACCATCTGATTTGTCAGTTTGCATTCCTTCATATAATCCCAACATTGCACAGATGCCCCATGACCTGCCAGTCATGCTAGTGTGACCGCCATTACAGATATCCTAACCCAATCATTAGTAACAGTTGTCATAATACGAATATTACATAGGTGATTATCCAAATTTTTACCATCAATAAGATTTGAACACCCAACCTACCACTTGGAAGGTTGACAACCTGACCACTTCACTAGGTCACCACACCTTTTTAATATTTATTTTAATTTTATATAATTTCAAAATTAAAATAAAAAAAAATTAATTAGATAATTGTTAAGTTATTTTAATTTAAAAATTTAAAAAAATTTACTAAAAATAATTTGGTACTTTTCTATTGACTTTCTTTTCTTATATTTCAAAAATTACTACTATTTAAATCAAAAAATGTTTGCAATTTTAATAAAAAATAAAAATTTATTTTTATTATTACCCTTATACAATAATTTACAATTGTCATTAATATTTTTGTTTTACACATTATATCAACTTTTTTATTACATATAATCAATATTAAACTTTTCATATAATTATCTTTGATTAAACCATTTTATTAATCATTAAATACGTACATAGTATTTAATGTAATTTATTTTAATAATCTAAAAAAAAAGTAAAAAAATATAACAGAAAAAATACAATATTAATTATACCTACAAGTAATCCTATATATAAATGTTCTTAATGTCAAAGCGTAATAAATACGCTTATACGTGCGCAAAAAATGCACGTTTCATCAATAAAATGTAATTTGAATAATTTCATTTAAATCTTTCGAAACAAATTAAACCTTATTACAGTAATAACTATAAACTAAGTAATAATCATTGAAATGTAATTAACCAAAGTGAAAATGGACACATATTTCAATTTCCAAACTCAAACTATGTAGTAATGTCATAATTTTTTTTAAAAAAAGGGTTGGGTTGTAACCCTAAAGCGCATATCTTCCACTATGACTTTCCGTGACATTAATTAATTCGGAAACAGATTTTTGCAAAAGGGTATATTCATTCTCTCTCGGAATACACAACTAAAAATTTGTATAAAAGAATAATTAATAAATTGAAATCAAATAAAGTGATATTACTTATTAATCTTACCTCGCCTATGTCATAAATATGAACACGCCCATCAGAAGATCCAATTGCAGTTTTTCTTCCTTCTTTATCCCATTGAATCTTATTTAATGCTTTGCCTTGACCAACTTGAGTATTTACAATGGGCACCTACCAATATTATTATTATTATTATTATTATTATTATTATTATTATTATTATTATTATTATTATTATTATTATTATTATTA